TCAGAGAGAACCCTGCTAAAATGCCTATTCCTACGCAAAACACAAGCTGCAGTTGACAAATCTCGCGTCACTTTTCAAATAGACCAATGTAACAAATGTAAACAAATCGAGTTAAGCGATACAAACTATTGCTCTTCTATCATTGTATGTGATACAAAAACATCCATCCAAATTTACTTTAATTTATTTAAAATAATCATTGATCAAAAATTGTCAAATGTACAGTTTGAAATGATGGGTGTATGATTGTTACTTCGGTCATTCGGACTGCCTAACATGATTGGTGCTCATTTTCCAAAGGCGGGGCCAATCTAAAGTTAGGTACTATACTCTGAAATCTGTGAAAGGGAATCTAGTATCATGTAGACAAAACGTCCAATGTAACACTGATTGATTATGTCATTGAGAAAAATCGTCCAATGTAACATGTCCGATGTACAACTCGACTTGTCAAAACGTCCTATGTGGTTTTTTATATGTTGTAGAATGAAATTCAAAGTAAAATTGTGATTTTACCGTTTCTTCTGAATTTTCAACGTTATTATACACTGACTAAATTAAAAATAGTATTGCAGAATGTATTGTTTTTAAACAGTTAAAATAATAATCTGTTGAACTTCAACTTCGATTTTCTCAAAATGGTGGATATGTTACATTGGTCTATTTGAAAAGTGACGCGAGAAATATGATTTATTATATAAGACCACGTAGTCCTACGTCACCATTACGTACAACCATAGAGGTAACTCTAAGACTAGAAGGTCCCGAAATAACGAACTCAACTTTTTGGCTCAGCTCTGGGACTCTTTTCGGTCCCAAACTAATCGATTCACCCCTCGAAACATAGGAAAAACCAATAACCCCTCATTTTATCTGTCAAGAGGTAACTCTAAGACCAGAAAGTCCCAAAGAAACGGGCTCAACTTTTTGGCTCAGCTCTGCAGACTAAGATTTTTTTACAGTATACTGTAATTTTTTACCGAATATGGAACAGCTGAACATTCGGTAATCCATTCGGTAATTTTTTTAATTTACAATCCGTTCTGTAAATTTTCTTCGCTTGTGGCCTGTCAAAATTTACTGACCTGGACTGTAAATTTTACTGAAAGATCGGTAAAGTTTACCATAGCGTTCAGTATAATTTTTACCGAATCGACTGTACTTTATTTTCAGAATAAATAATAAACATTGTAATTTTTATTGATTGATTAACTGTTTCTTTCTTTCATCAAACCAAAAGATTCATTCCTTTTAACCATATATTTTTTTGGAAGATGCATTTTTATCTTGAGTTTGTACAGAAAATTATAAAAAAAAAAATCAGTAAAGAACCCGGACGAGGTTATCAACTAAGTAGCGAACCGTTCTAAAATGCAGTTTCGGCGGTAGAGGAGGACATTGAGTTGCATAACGTCCATGGCGTCTGAAAGAAATTGGCCCAGAAATGAAAAACTAATTATGTTTTCTGCATAAATTGCACAGAATCTAGCGAAAAGTAAAGTACTTACGCTTCACAACGTAGAACCGAAGGACACTCAACATTGAAATGGCAGCTAATATTGAGTTTGACAGTACGAAAATCTGTTCAGTATCTTTTACAGAATTCGGTACTTTATTGCTGTTTGATTTTGTAAAAGATTATTTTTACAGTATACTCGTCACAATTTTTACAGAATTGCGAAATCGCTGCCTTTTACAGTTTCGATCCGCAAATTTTATTTACAATTTTCGGTAAATGTATGTAAATAACGGAAATTCAGCAGTTTAGATTGCGGAAAATTTGTAAAATAATATGTTTTACAAAGCATTCGGTAAAAATTACATTTTACCGAACAAATCCAGCAAAAAAGTACCGAACAAGATTTAAGAAATTTGGTGTGTGGTACTATCTTCGGTCCCACGCTAATCGATTCACACCTCGAAACATAGAAAAAAAACAATAACCCCTCATTTTATCTGTCAAACTTTCATAGCGAATCAAAACAAACATTGTGTAGTAGTAGAATTTCGACTAGAATGGGATACGTTAATCGTTTGCTTGGGACCAATAGGCTAGTCAAGTAGTGAGCCAATTTAAAATCGTTAGTTTCGTATTGATTGTTGATCCTACGTTAAGCCTCCGTCCGTGCCCCTACGCACAAACCCTTCTACCATCGAGTCTACCATAGAGGTAACTCTACTTTTTTAGATAAATATATGTTTTGAACATATTACGTGTAATCTTCAAGTGCTTTCACTTGAGAAATCTCGATGAACCATTCAAAAGGTCGTATCTACTTTGATCGATTCTCTTCATCGACTTTCTCTTTTGATAACAACCACCAATGCAAACAGGTTTTGCGCTCTTTTTACCACATGGTTTCATAAAAGAATATTTTATCTTACGTCCAAAACGTCAAATACAACAGGTTACGTTTTTACAGCTGAGTCATTAACGAAAGAGAAAGTCGATGAAGAGAATCGATAAATGCAGATAGGACCTTTTGAAATGTTTATCTAGAATGTTTTAAATATATTTTCATATTCCGTCACATACGTCATGAAACATATGTTGATGTGTTGCATGAAATACGAAACTATCAAATCCAAGCTCTTTTTCACTCATTCGTTTCACCGAAGCTTGAATGAGAGGTCAATGAAGCGACGGAAGAAAGAGAGACAAGCGGTTGAAAATGTGTTTGCTGTTCGACTTCGACCACTTCAACAGAAAAAGAAAGCTAGCAGTTTCTTTATCGCATAGATTTTGTTGATTGAACCTGACGACCAAATTTGATTTTAATGTATGGATTCCGGAACAATAGACTTCTCTGAAGTTTATGAATTGCACAAGTATTAGTGCAGAACTTGGGGTAAATTATAAGTATTAGTGCAAGCAAAACCTTTGAATTCACCCAAAGTTCTGCACTAATACTTGTGCAATTCATAAACGTCAGAGAAGTCTTTACCAGGTAATTTGCTGCAGTACTATAATAATCATCTTCATACATTAGAGACCTCCAAGCGCAATCTCACGAACACTAAAATCCAACATCCATACATAAAAATGATGAAGAAGAAGAACCAACAATGTATCGCGATATCACAACCATTTAAAAAGGTAACGCGTGGTCTCACGCACACTTTTGTGCATCTGAAGAACTGTATGCCAAAGCAGAAATTAATTTTGTGACGTGACAACGCTTTGTCAACCAAATTTACAAATGTTTTTTTTTTTACTAGATGTATCGTCACTTATAGTACGTTCATAGTACGTTCAGACTACAGAGTTATAACATGTTATAGCGCTATCTTGATGGTGGTTTCTGTGTTGCAATTATTTGACAACCATTATAACATGTTATAGCTGCTTAGTCTGGACAGCGTTTTAAGGACACATTTAATTAACAACTCGTGTGACAAAGTTCAGTGGAGTATTTTGACATGAAGCAAAAATTATAATGTATCACCAACACGCAGAAAAAAATATTTTAAAAGTAATAATATTTGACGTAAAATCAATAAGAATTTCATTTTGTTTTGGCTGCAAAAAGAAATCATTATTGTTTCAACAATCCAGTATTTTTGTTTCTAAAAACCCATGGATTGTTAAATCAAAAAGAAAATCTTTTAGAATTTACAAGAGCTTAGATGGTTTTGACGTAAGCTGTCAAATTTGGCAGCTGGGTCAACAACAAAAATATGTTTGTTTTTAAAAGAGATTTCTTGTTGATTCAATCGTATTTATTTTATAAAGTCTGACAATTCACGCAGTAGAAATAAAAATGTGTTTATTGATGTAAAAATAATATGGCATTTTTTTTTTATGTTTCGTTTTCATTTGGAAACAAAATTGCAGAAATTGTAATTGAATTTCTGAGGCATAAAATGTTCAGTTCATGAGCTGATGGGTCGATATGTAGGGTCCAGATGTGGGAGCTGCCTTCCTGGCGTCGGGAGCATTGGTACTCAGTACGGAAAACAAGATCGATGGAAAAAAATAAAGGAAAAAAAAACAGAAATATTGATTATATTTATCAACTGCAGCTCGAATTGCAGCATACTTACTTAACTCAAGTCTCAAGATTTTCGAAAATCTTGCACTTATTTCCCGAAATTTACAATTAAAAACAATACTTACGTGGAACGCGTAGGTATTGTTATTGTTTACATTTTTGTCCGGGTGAAAACGAGGGAATGGTTGGTAGTTATTTTTGCTTTCATGGCCCAGAGAATGGACACAGCAAATAAATGCTAAATTAAAATTAACTATTGTTGGCTTAATAATAGAATATTGTTATTTTTACAATAGTTGCATTTGAAAAGTGGCTGATTAAAACAAAAAGAATCCTATTTTGAATTTATATTACTAAGTATTATTGAAACAACAAAAAGCAATATAATTTCAACTGGAATTGTTTGCTTAAATACAATTAAAGATTTTTTTGGTTCAATGCAAACAATTTTCTGTCCGTGAACAAACGGATTACCCTAATAAAAAATAACCATAAACGAACGATAACCCAAATCATTGAACTATTCCACAAATGGTTTGGATGATACCCAGAACACGTCGTTAAGCAAATTAACCATACAATTTTTATTATGGTAAGCTGTCAAATATTTTCCGATTATGGATTTTTATAGGATATCATCTAAGTTTTCCAATAGTATTGATAGTTTGTTGGACTTACGCATTATTTAGGCATGAAAATATGCAAAATCATCAGTGCAATGTCAAAACGTTGTTAAGTCACACTAAAGGCCGGCGCACAATAGATACGTTTTAAGGTTTTTTGACAGTTAGCCCATGCATTATCTGTCAAAAAACCCGAAAACGTATGCATTGTGCGCCGGCCCTAACTTCACTCCGTTGTACGGTACCATGTATTTGTTGAGCGAATCATATCTCCTTCAAGAGAGAAATAAAAATTGATCGTTCTCTCTTTCCTTTCATCGTTCAAGTTCATCTCCAACCGGGAAAGATTATTCATTATTTAGTCTGCGAGAGCAAAGCAAAGAGATTACGCATATTCACATGTCGCAGTTCTGATACACAACAGTGTGTCTGAACTAGCCAGGAAAGGATCACTTCTCTTCATATATCTAAGCTTCTGTAGTGTTCAAACTAAACTGATAACACGGTGATGTGAGAGTAAGCAACAGATGCTACCGGTGGTTGGATTAGTATCGGAATCAGTATTCTATAAACTGTCGACCAGCTGTTTTGTGTTGTACGGCCGAATAGAGAGAAAAAAGTGATGATTGTGATAACAGATTTAGCAATAATTTAAAGCAGTGTCATGATATAGCCGTTGTGCGCTGGCCTTTACTCTTATCAGTGAGCTAGTTTACGCGACATGAAAGAGTGTTTATAGATGCCAAAATAGAAACGCAAAATTCTTCCAAACTCCGCAGTTCAAAAGTGCCTTCTGTATGAGATTTGATTAATATACTACAGTGCGGAGAGTGTAAAATCTTACGAAATATTGTAGAAAAACATGAGTCTTGATACAATGAATGATATAGTTAAAAAGTACAAGAACTGGAAATCTTACATCAAGGTACGTAGATCAGATTAAATGTGTTAAGCTACGATTGATTTATTCTAACAATTAGCACCAATTTCTTAACTGATACCCTCAATATATGTGTTGCACCAAATCAGTGCTGTTGGTGCCGCTTCTGGCTTTGTTGGTTGGCGTTGGATGGATGGTTGCTTTGCACTGCAACGACAGTGAAGCAATTTTTTTTTCTATTTGTCTGACGAAATGAGCGAAAAAAACAACACGATAGCGAAATGGTGTTGGGGAGTCTAATGGCCCGCGAATAGAGGAGAGTGGTTCACCAGTATACATTTCCATGTGTATAGAGTACAGTGAAGACCCTCCACTCCTTTTGTGTGCTTAACGCTTCGCTTGGTCCATCATCTGACCGCACGGAATTTCATCATACTCGCATACACGTTTCCCGCAGCTTCACTTCTACTATCACGAGCTGTCTTTTCAGTTCAGCTCAACAGATGTTGATCGTTCTGGGCAGTTGATGCAGTTCTTTGCTCTTTCTTTCTCTGACGTGCACTTTAGATCGATGCTAAAAATCATAACCTTAAGCAAACTTGAGGAAGATTTGTTTTCGTGGGAACCTACTAATACATAGGAACTACTTACGAAGACGTTTCATGACTCAGCTGATAGGGGATTTCCCATTCAAGTAGTCAAATGCTTACGTTAAAGGAAGTGTGTTTCCAAAACGTTCTGTTTCAAAACGTATTTATTGTGTAATTGTGGTCATTGAAAATTGTGGGAGAGTAATGAGTTATCCTCTTACAATTTTCATTGTCCACAATATCGCACTTCCAAGTGCAGTTACCCGTTGCAACTCATGTAGACAATTCCTAGAATTACCCCTAGTTTAAACTGACGATGTGGACGTGTTGGTAAAACGCCCACCTAAGATGTATCATCCCCTATAATGTCCGGTATAAATACTCTGATAACAATCACAATATACATCCGTAAGTTTCCATAGTGACAGCAGTTCTCATAACGTACCTACCTGATGATGATAGAAATATGCACGTTATCTCACAGTTGAGTGCGATCTATGCCATTGTTAATGAAGATAACGACTTAACCATGAAAACTCTTCTCAATCTATTTTCTTTTACTAAGTTTAGTGAACTCATTATGACGTCAAACTATTCGGCAATTCGGGCATGATAGTTCATGATGCTCATAATTCACTGACATCTTCAAAAAAAAACCTCATGAAACGCTGTCGATCATTGTGCATGTTGAATTGCACGTAGAGTTTACAATATTGAATTGTGTAATACTCTGAAAAGATCAATGTTGATTACTAAGAATTGAGTTTTTGATTACGAAAACGTCATGGATTTTCATTTCTTAAAATGATGTCTGTTGGGACCTAAACTTTTTCAAAAACCGAACTCTTATTTCAACCTTATCGAGAAATGAAATGATGAAAGTCATAAGTTACTAAATTAATTGAACTCATGACAAAAGATTTTATCAAATGTTAAGCCTTGCTTTATGAATAAATTTTTCAATGGCATATGGTTCTACAATCAAATGGATGATCAAAGCATGGTTTAACAATAACCATGGATATACACACTTAGTTTTTTCTACCGAGCTCGGCTGTGCAAATCTCGGCAAAATAAGTTTTACTGAGATTTCAGCAAAAGTGACATTTGATTGCTGAGTCTCGGATAATGCTTAGCAGAATCTCAGCAAACAAATGAAATGTTTGCTGATATCTCAGTGAAACGTTTTTTGCCGAGATTTGCACAGCCGATCTCGGTAGAAAAATCTAAGTGTGTAGGATGATAGTGATAAAAGCTGTTTAATCAATTATGCTTGCAGCTGGTAGTAATTACTCGATTTTCAATCTTCATTGTCACCAACTTGTGACAATGATGACTTCGCAAATGACTCAGCTTGGCGACCAACGTGGCTGTGAAGCAAATTTAGCTCATACATAAGAGATGTCTGTATTTCCCAATAATTCTCATTAACGTCCTAATAAATTTGACCAATATCGAATCAATGTGCTTCAACACTTCAATTGAATCCTATGCGAACATTTTTGGACATTTGTTATTGATTGATGTGATCAGTTTCGATGCTTTCTTCGAAGGTTTCAATCCATTACGTCGTTTGTGGCGCCGGTGGTGTAGTGGTAAGCGTTATTACCTCTCACCCCAGCAGACCTGGGTTCAATCCCAGTCGGCGCCACCGGGATGTTCTGAGGCATAACATCTCTGATCACGCCTTTCTTCGGAACGGGAAGTAAAGCCGTTGGTTCCCGGTTCATGAGTTTGATGGGTCGCTAGGTAGGGTCCAGGCACGTATAACAACATCGACGGAAAAACAAATCATGGAAAAAATCCATTACGTAGCAATGTTGCTAACGCACTGGAATTGAATGCTTTTCAAATTATTATTTATTGGCACCTTGGGAGCATCGATTGATTGCGTCACCCGAAAATTGGACAATATTACCAACAATCAATACGAAACTAACGATTTTAAATTGCCTCACTACTTGACCAGCCTATTGGTCCCACGCAAATCGACAAACGTACCCCATTCTAGTCGAAATTCTAGTACTACACAATGTTTGTTTTGATTCGCTATAAAAGTTTGACAGATAAAATGAGGGGTTCGTGAATTTTCCTATGTTTCGAGGGGTGCATCGATAAGCTTGGGACCGAAGATAGTACCAGAGCTGAGCCAAAAAGTTGAGTACGTTTATTCGGGACCTTCTGGTCTCAGAGTTACCTCTATGCTATATGCATGAGAAAATTCATTCACTCGCACAAGCATCACAGCCTTCCTCACCTACAAACGGATTGCTGAACGAGTGTTAATTCTTCAAACCAAGTGACTCTGCAGGTAGACTCGGAACTGACAGCAGTAGAAAGAATGTGAAGGATAAACTGAAAGGCAGCCGAACAATTTTCTCTACCGATGGAAACCCTATTGAATGCGTAAAAACCGAACGCTAACGATTTAAATAACCGAGCGAGATATTTTTTGGCTCAGTGATTTAAATCAGTTGAATTGGCAAATCAAAGTTTGCCCCGTAGATAATAGAAGAACTATGAAAGTGATTATAGTTTCAGAATTATGCACGGCTGCAATCTTAAAATGCATTTTTGTTTTAATGAAATCTGGTTGATCCCAACCAATAATTTTCAGGCTGGCGGGTATGAAAATGTTTAAATCGATTTATCTCCGTTAAAACGGCTCTAATCGAGATTTAGAAGGTTTTAAGCTGTCAGAAAGTTTTTCTTCAAAAAAAAAAATCCCAACCCATTATTTTCAGACTGGCGGGTATGAAAATCTTTAAATCGATTTATCTCCGTTAATACGGCTCTAATCGAGATTTGGAGGGTTTTTAGGTGTCAGAAATTTTTTCCCAAAAAAAAATGTTCCTACCCATTATTTTCAGGCTGACGGGTATGAAAATCTTTAAATCGATTTATCTCCGTTAATACGGCTCTAATCGAGATTTGAAGGGTTTTTAGGTGTCAAAATTGTCAAATGTTTCTACCCATTATTTTCAGGCTGGCGGGTATGAAAATCTTTAAATCGATTTATCTCCGTTAATACGGCTCTAATCGAGATTTGGAGGGTTTTTAGGTGTCAAAATTTTTTCCCAAAAAAAATGTTCCTACGCATTTTTTTCAGGCTGGCTGGTATGAAAATCTTTAAATCGATTTATCTCCGTTAATACGGCTCTAATCGAGATTTGGAGGGTTTTTAGGTGTCAGAAATTTTTTCCCAAAAAAAAATGTTTCTACCCATTATTTTCAGGCTGGCGGGTATGAAAATCTTTAAATCGATTTATCTCCGTTAATACGGCTCTAATCGAGATTTGGAGGGTTTTTAGGTGTCAACATTTTTTTCCCAAAAAAAATGTTCCTACCCATTTTTTTCAGGCGGGCGGGTATGAAAATCTTTAAATCGATTTATCTCCGTTAATACGGCTCTAATCGAGATTTGGAGGGTTTTTAGGTGTCAGAAATTTTTTCCCAAAAAAAAAATGTTCCAACCCATTATTTTCAGGCTGGCGGGTATGAAAATCTTTAAATCGATTTATCTCCGTTAATACGGCTCTAATCGAGATTTGGAGGGTTTTTAGGTGTCAGAAATTTTTTCCCAAAAAAAATGTTCCAACCCATTATTTTCAGGCTGGCTGGTATGAAAATCTTTAAATCGATTTATCTCCGTTAATACGGCGAGATTTGGAGGGTTTTTAGGAGTCAAATTTTTTTTCCCAAAAAAAAATGTTCCTACCCATTATTTTCAGGCTGGCGGGTATGAAAATCTTTAAATCGATTTATCTCCGTTAATACGGCTCTAATCGAGATTTGGAGGGTGTTTAGGTGTCAAAATTTTTTTCCCAAAAAAAATGTTCCTACCTATTATTTTCAGGCTGGCTGGTATGAAAATCTTTAAATCGATTTATCTCCGTTAATACGGCTCTAATCGAGATTTGGAGGGTTTTTAGGTGTCAGAAATTTTTTCCCAAAAAAAAAATGTTCCAACCCATTATTTTCAGGCTGGCGGGTATGAAAATCTTTAAATCGATTTATCTCCGTTAATACGGCTCTAATCGAGATTTGGAGGGTTTTTAGGTGTCAGAATTTTTTTCCCAAAAAAAATGTTCCAACCCATTATTTTCAGGCTGGCTGGTATGAAAATCTTTAAATCGATTTATCTCCGTTAATACGGCGAGATTTGGAGGGTTTTCAGGAGTCAAATTTTTTTTCCCAAAAAAAAATGTTCCTACCCATTATTTTCAGGCTGGCGGGTATGAAAATCTTTAAATCGATTTATCTCCGTTAATACGGCTCTAATCGAGATTTGGAGGGTTTTTAGGTGTCAGAAATTTTTTCCCAAAAAAAATGTTCCAACCCATTATTTTCAGGCTGACGGGTATGAAAATCTTTAAATCGATTTATCTCCGTTAATACGGCTCTAATCGAGATTTGGAGGATTTTAAGGTGTCAGAAATTTTTTCCCAAAAAAAA